TCCCCAGCCACTTCTTCCAGCTCCTCCGGGGGAACTCCAAGGCGTTCCGAGGCCAGCCGAGAGACATAGTCCCTCCAGCGTGTCCTGGGTCTTCCTCTGGGCCTCCTCTCGGTGTGACGTGCCCAGAACACCTCACCAGGGAGGCGTCCAGGAGGCATCCTTACCAGATGCCTGAGCCACCTCAACTGGCTCCTCTCGACKTGGAGGAGCAGTGGCTCTACTCTGAGTCCCTCCCGGATGACCGAGCTTCTCCTCCAAAACCTGATGGATAAATCTATTCTAAAACAGCTGATGCCTAATCCTGAACATCTGTAGTCTAAAGTTAATTAAACAACAAATGGCAATAAGCACAAACTCTCATTTTGTTTAAGAAAATGCAGAAAATTAATATTTAACACCCACAAACTAGACTTTATTGCATGTTTTAAATGTTTAATCAATCAACATTCATGCTTAACAAAGAGGTTTTTGTCATTCTCCTATTATGACACCATAGAAATACTGCCCAATGTTGCTCCATCTAACAGAAATTTGCTACTTTTCAACTAAGTGTCTTATACCAGTCCGCATGTTATCATTTAAGGTTTTGCACTTTGCACAGACTGATCCACCATCAGCTGATGTTAGGTCACCATGCACTTTGTAGTTTTTCCACGACCGGTCCGTTCTCTCACTGCGTCGGTGCCCAGGTTCGGCAATAAACTGATGAAAACTTGCCAGACTTGTGCAAGTCTTCCTCATGCAGTGTCTGTTGGTAACACCAACCAGGTTTCCTGTTGCTCCGCTTCGGTATAAATGGCTACAAAAACACAGAAACGTCAACGATGACTAACCGCACAAGCAACAAGTGTCATTTGCCTATCGCTTCAGGTTGGACTCTGAGTAAACTTCGACTTGTTGAAATGTTTATGATGTTCATGTGATATGAGAGTGTTCACAGATGGGATCATGCGGGGAAATGTTGGCTCTTTATGGTGGAGTTTTCCTACATTTTTAGAAATGTTTTTTACATTCTGACTCGAGAATGTGTTGAATGGAGGCCAACGTAACTCATGAATCCTCCTGCAGGATATACTTCTTAAACAGGACCAGACCTTTCTGTCTTGAGCTGTCACCAAACCACACAGCATCCATCTATCAGAGCTTCATTCTCCCACTCGCAGAAAAGGAGGTGCATTTCACAAACACTTTGTCCTTTTTTCTGAAAAGACAATGAGTTTTGAGCAACAGGGTGCCGTTCCTTGGGAAATATGCACCTCGCTGTCTTCCTCGGTTTCTCTCACCACTGTCCTTTGTTCGAGCTCCTCTCATTGTAAAATATCTGGATCCTGTCGTCTTCTAGACGCGGCTCGGCCAAAGGAAGCGTGCGCCTTTCCCTGAACTTTTCCCCTGGCTGTGTTGAACTTGGCAGCCCTTGGACTGATAATGTGTCCAGAACCAGTGTTGCAACAACAGTAGTCTTTCTGTGCTTTCGCCAATCCACCTTAAGCACGCTGACAGTAGAGTAGCACAGTTGAAATGCTGACCACCAGTTGGTAGAAGGGTAACTTTCCCATATTTTAGCCTAAAATCTTTCAATGTCTTTGTCCTTACCAAACGTAACTTGAAAAATATATATACATATTTAAACAAAATCTTCAGTGCCTGAATCAAATCTGCTATGAAACATTTTTTCCCCCTTCAGCACTCCTCAGTCACTTCGAGGTCATGTTAAAATATTTAGGAATTCCAAATTTAGCTTGGGACATCTTAACGTGTGTCTCCTCCAAATGAATTATGCACAACCTCCCATGAAACACAGGATGAGGTGACCACTCGTTTTTGGAAGAAAAAAAAACCGTATCATTTTCAGATTTATTTTTGGGTTGCAATGGTGGTGATCTAAATTTAGAAACCCAACTTTTAGCCGTAATTAATGAGCCTTCCTCTTTAGTGTCCTGATGCATCTCAGTAATCCAAGTAAAAAATCAAAAAGAAAAAATTGTATAGGTCTTCTGGATGGGTTCTCTTTAATGAAACGTTTCGTTTCTCCTCCAAGAGACTTCTTCAGTCTGAGAGTTTCAGGCAAAATTCAGGCTTTTAAGCTCTGCCTCCATGTGACTGATACTCACATCACATGGCTATCGTTGACACCTAATTAACTCTTATTGTTAACAGGAGGGGGAGTGATACTGGCAATAGCCGCGCTGTAGGAGGGGGACAACTGAAAACGGAGGCCTCCACCTCTGTTTAATGATGGACGGTCTTTCTTCACAAAAAGGGCTTCTTTTACTCCTCTCTCAAACCAATGTTCCTCTCTATCAAGAATGAGAACATCCTCATCTCTGAAAGAGTGACCGCTGGCCTGTAAATGAGTGAAAACTGCAGAGTTCTGGCCATTAGAATTAGCTCGTCTGTGTTGGGACATTCTTTTGAACAGTGGTTGCTTTGTTTTCCCAATGTATAACTGGTCGCAGTCCTCCTGGCACTTAACAGCATATACAATATTGCTCTGTTTGTGCCGGGGCACCGGATCTTTGGGGTGAACCAGCCTTTGCCGTAATGTGTTTTGGGGTTTGAAAGCCACTGGGACATCATGTTTAGAAAATAAACGTCTCAGTTTCTCCGAAACACCCGCAACATACGGAATAACCACTGGTTTGGGTCTGGGTTTGGGGTCTTCATTTTCACCTGAAGGTTGCA